TGAATTCTGATTTGGAACTACGCAGAAAATATGGCTAATTGCCAGTAAACTTAGTCTAAAGCCCCGTTTACACTACGCTCAATTTTTGGTACGGCACGGATAAAATTGGTACCCGTACCACTTTTTTGGTTCTTGGACTACCTATTTAGGTCCAAGAACCAAAAAGTGGTACGGTACCAAAAATTGAGCGCAGTGTAAACGGGGCTTAGCTAAATAGGTAGTCCAAGAACCAAAAAAGTGGTACGGGTACCAATTTTATCCGTGTCGTACCAAAAATTGAGCGTAGTGTAAACCGGGCTAATGTAGCTATTAAGACTGCCAGAGTTTATGTTAATTGGTTCAAAACAAATGATTAAAAGTATTTCAAATTTGCAACTAAATGTGAAAATTGAAAACGAGTCAATTAAACAAGTTTATATATGAATCCAAAACTCTTGCCCTTGGAGTGACAATTGAGCAGCATTTATCTTGGAGAACTAACACTGAGACTACTTGCAAGAAAATAACATCCGGAATATCGGCTCTTAGCTAGACGTTTAAAAGAATTTGCTGACAAGCAAACACTTCTTTCTATATATAATGCTACTGCGTTCGCCCATATTTTGATTCATATGGGATCAAATTAAGAAGACTCCAAAAACTACAAAACAGAGCTTCTCGGATTATTATGAATATGAGCAATGACATAGTCATAGATCATTCTGTTGCATTGCGAGCATTGGGTTGGAAGCCACTTAAAACTAGCCTGTGTGCAGCTTCAAGTCTTCAACCCGAATTTTTAAAATATCAACATGATACTGTTTAAAAAATTCGGGTTGAGGCTGCACGCAGGCAGATAAACTGGCAAAAATAAACTGGCAAAAATCATGTACAAATTATTAAATAATATGGGTCCCAAGGTCCCAAATCACTCACTAATCTCTTCACATATAAAGGTGAGGTGACAAACTACAAACTTAGGAATATTTCAAGTAGTCTTTGTTTACCACAACCGCGTACTAATAATATGAATAATTTCATGTGTGACGGAGCACACCTTTGGATTCTATTCCTAAAGAAATTAGAGAGAGCAAATCCTTTTCGTCCTTTCGAAAGAAAATCGCTACTCAGTACTCACATTGATTGATAGCTAATTGAAAATATAGATGTTAATATACCTGTAAATAGACTATTATTAAAAATATATTAAAAAATGTAGCGAACTATTTCGCTACACTATATTTTTAAGTTTTACTATATTCCGAGCATCTACTAACTCAGGTTGTAATGTAATCTATGGCCATCTATAACAAATCGATTTACGAGTAACAACAGTAAACATAAAGCAACATTTTTGTAAGCACTACAGTGTTCAGAAGTGGAAATTGACCAGCCTAGCCATAGGCTCTCTCTCGCGCGCTTGCTATGCTTGGTTCATAGGGGTACGAAGGGGTACTTGTGGTGGTGGGAGAGGGGTAGCTGTGGGGAAGGGACGGCCACAACTAACTGACGTCATGCCTAAGCTAGTTTTATCGATCGGTTCGTTTTTCGTTGCCCCTGCAGAACGACTAGGGACTAGGCTGCAAATTGACTATTGAGAATTGATTTTAAGCAAACCGTGTCTCAATACCATGCTATTCTATCAAGTTGCTAACAATTTTAAAAAGTAGCGAACAGCGATTCGCTGTTTCAAAAGTAGTCAACTACTTGGCCAGAGTACTTGGCTACTTTTAGGCAAAATGTAGTTCGCTATAACTACAACTACTGTTTTAAAAAAGTAGTCAAAAACTACTAGCTAGCTACTTGAACATTGTAGTTCGCTACAATAGCGAACTACAACTACTTCGCTACAACCCACCCTTGGTTGTTACTTGATAGGTCCGGAGTGCAACTACCTGAAAAATATAAGGAGAATTTCGAGTTAATACAGACGAAGGCCCTTCGCCCGAAACGTCGAAATTCTCCTTATATTTTTCAGGTAGTTGCATTCTGCTGATCCGAACTGTTTGATGTTTACAACAAAAAAATGCAAGACCACAACATACCAGAAGTCATTCCTGACGAGATCAACGAGAGTGTGGAACATTTTACCAAAAGACTTGACAGATAAAAACACTACATTTAACGGATTTAAAAGCGGACTTCTCAAACACTATAAATCTGCTTTACGAAATGTTTACAACGCAGAGGATCCTCGAACTTGGAAATCTATATGTTTGTAGTCTTGTAATACGTCTCGTAACCTGTCTTGTCCCATATCGTGCTGTCGTTAGTTTTTTGGAAACCAGCTTGAATATTAAACAACGATTAAAATATAAATATTCTGCATGGTATGAATTTAGTAAGCTTGAATATACAGAAATTTGTGTATAAGGAGAAATTGGTGGGGTATTCTGCTTTTAACCCCCGATATTTTAAAGTTTGTTTGTCTTGTATTGTGTAAAGGGTCGCTGTAATTGGCGAAAGCTGTAGCGTATACCCAGCCCTGTCAATGTATGTATCGTTTATGTTAATGTATAGTATAGCAAGTGATTTTAAGTTGATTTGGCAAAGCCTAATAAATAAATAAATAAATAAATCCCTACGAACGAAAGCTTGTTAATAGTATTATATATACAAGTAATATTATATTTAACCTCTGATATTTAACTAAGTATACTCAAAGTTACATACTGTGAAATTAGCATACTGGTTTTAATACATATGCAAAAGGATACTGTGGCTCTATAGTGGATGGAGAAAAATTGACGAACATAACGCTTAATGATGCTTGTTTTTCCCGTCCCGAGATCTCCAATCACTAACACTTTAAAAAGGAGTTCTGTCTTTTCCTTCATCGACTAAATATAGGGGAAGACAAATCAAAAACCATGAGAGCTCCTCTACCATGATCATTCAAGTATTAAATTTACATGTCACATCAAATTTAAACTTACCATTGTGATACAATTTTCTGTTTTTTCAACCAAACATTAAGTCCTTTTCTACAAGTCTCAGACGAGTTTATCAGTTACAAGGAAAGCCACAGTTGTCTTGCGAGAATTCGTGTTTATTAGAATTATAACAGCAATGCACGTGACGTTCTACTTAATTTTAACGAATTCTGTCATAATAATTTGCATATAAAGTTCCTCTTGTATGCTTGACAAACTCCATACTTTGGGCACAAAATTAATTTGCATATAAAACCGGTTTTTTTATGATGATAAATAAAAATCAAATAAATAAATAATCTATTGCAATTTACGCCGAAAATTGTACTTTTACATATTACACAGGTAATTTGCTATTAGCCTTCTTGGAATTTTTCTCCACATATATTTGCTACTCATTTTTACACGAATTTTAATATACTGCGAAAAAATCTTTTTCAATAATTCGAAATTAAAATGTAAAGCCGAACTTTACAGTTTCATGTCGGGGGGAGACGAGACGAAATTGGGAAATTTATACGAGTGATTAAATTTCAAGAATTTTGGTAGGGTCCACTTCCCCGCAATCAATCTCTCTCTGTCCAATTTATAATATATATTTTGCGATCCGAGTTCGCGTTATCGATTTTTCATCTTCATATTTGCCAGAAATGGATTCCAGAATTGAAATCGTCCTGCTCAAATTCTACGCCGAAACTTTTTTCACTGTAGCGAAAATTCCATACAAATACAGTATGGTAAAAAGAAAATTTTCACCTCATTCTACTAAGTATACTGATTTGATATATGTAATCCCAATCCTATTTTAAATTTTGCAAATGATAGGCATTCTTCTATCTTCCATACTATCTTCCATACTCGTTCGCGTCTAGGCTCTAGCCTCTATAGGAGTCTAGGTGTGTGCGCATTCAATGTATATTTGTATAGCATAGGTTGTAAAATGTCTCCATCGTGTAGGTGTGGCTATCATACTGAATCTATATAAAACATTTTCTTTACTGTCCAATATTTGCTGCCCAAAGGTTAAGCTGTTCTCCTCCGCTGCCGAGAAACTTCCCGAGGGGTGGTTAAGATTGACGGATGAACAAATTATGAAAATATTTTTCTTTGGTTCTCAAATGCTGTCGTTGGAATACAACACGGCAATATTTTCTTATATTCAGATTTATATTAAAGAAACAGCAGGTTTTTATTCTAACCGCTCTTTAAAACCCGTGTGTGCGTGAAACTGTGTTTTTAATTTGTAACGAGTATGCACGCTCTTGGGGCAAACTCATTCTGACCAAAATATGAAATTGCTGGACTTGATGGACTCACACCAAAATTTTTGAAATTTAATCACAACAAAGATTTATTTGTACCCAAAATAAAATATTTACATTTTGAATTACTATATCAGAAAAAAATATTTAATAAGAGTACCTGCTACTTGTAATAACCATCAAATGGCTAATAGTAATAAGATCAGGCAGCAGAAACAAATCTGACTGGGTCACGAATTTAGAAATTACTTAAGAAGAAGAAAAAAGAAAAAAACTCGAAAAAAACAATCCACTCAATGTTTAAAAGCAACCTTTATAGGAAGAGAGCATTCTGAGTATAAAAAACTAATATCCGTCGATGAAGTCAATTTTCAATTTCTTTTTAAAGGCCGAGGGAGAAAGGTATCGGTCATATTAAATTTCCCAATTTCGTCTCGCCTCCCACCGACATGAAACTGTAAAGTTCGGCCATTTAAATTCGTGTAAAAAATGTAGCAAAAAAATCACAGCCACTGATCTATATAGTTCCCAACGAAGGGCCTGCGGAGGCGGCGGTTAGCACTATTTCCCATCCAGCAAACTGACCTGAAGTCATTTTCGGAACATGAAAGAGGTATGTTTTGAGTTCTTGAAAAGCCTGATTGTTGTTTCTTGATCATTTATTATACTCTAGAAGCTTGAAAATATAAATAGTTGTCGAATAAAGCTCAATATTTTGGACACAAAAATGTAAACAAAGGCTTTGTTTACATACGGACTGTAGATCACCTTTAAATGCTATGTAACCACTGAGTATGTAACTAACCCAAACCCTACCCCTCCTCTAACCCCTAACCCTAACCGCAACCTTAACCCTAACCCTAACCCTAACCCTAACCCTAACCCTAACCCTAACCGAATTAATAAAAAAATCCAAAAAGAAACGACTTTAGAAAATCGACAGGGCGGTTTGCTGGATGGAAAATAGTGCTAACCGGAGGGGGCAGTTGAAAAATTCCAAGAAGTAGCAAATTACTTGTATTAAATGTGTACCTTGACAGTTTTCATCGTGTATGGCAAAAAATTATCATAAAAAAGAACCGGTTTTATGTAAATTAATTTTGTGTACAAAGTACAGGGTTTGTCAAGCATACTAGAGGAATTTATATGCAAATTATTCTTACAGAATTCGTTAAAATTAGTAACCCGTGGTTTGCAGTCGCTCGAATTGTTCACCAGAACGTCACGTGCATTGCTGTGATAATTCTAATAAACACGAATTCTCGCAAGACAACTGTGGCTTTCCTTGTAACTGATAAACTCGTCTGAGGCTAGAAAAGGACTTAATGTTTGGTTGAAAATCAGAAAATTGTATCACAATGGTAAGTTTAAATTCGATGTAACATGTAAATTTTAATACTTGATTGATCATGGTAGAGGAGCTCTCATGGTTTTCGATTTGTCTTCCCCTATTTAGTCGATGAAGGAAAAGACAGAATTCCTTTTTAAAGTGTTAGTGATTGGAGATCTCGGGACCGGAAAAACAAGCATTATTAAGCGTTATGTCCATCAGTTTTTTTCGATCCATTATAGAGCCACTGTATCCTTTGTATGTGTAAATCAGTATGCTAATTTCACAGTATGTAGCTTTGGGTATATTTTATAGTTAGATATATACTTGTATATTAACCGCTTGTTTGTTATAAATAAAGACATAGAGCCTTTATTTGTTACTTAGGTTATATCTGAGATGCATCGCGATGTTCTATTTTACAATTTGTAGCAATAAAACTCGATGAAATAATCGTTATTTACAATATTTACCTAAGCGTACAAGTTTGTCAAGTATTAATTTGACATGCCACAGTAGTAGCACGATTTGGTATTCGATCAAATTTAAATGTGATATGGTTCGATCAAATTTAAGTATTTATTATTTATTATCACTGTAAAATAAAGAATTTATATTTTTAGTATATTTATACAAATATACCAAAACACTTGCTTCCCATTTTAATGTGCAAGAAATATTTGTGTCATAACTGATGTGGGATAGATAATCTGGTTAATAATAAAGAAAGCTGACAAGACTCCAGATTATATTACAAAATATTGTAGCATTTAAACTGAACACTATATATACTAGCTATTGTCTTTGTAATTATTTGTTGGCTTTTGGCTAACCCGAGGTGCTAATTAGTAAGTTAACCAATTTCTATTTGCTAATTTCTTATACCTAGTTTGTCATTTGTACTCTGTTTTATACTCATTTTGCTCATCAAGGGAAAAGTATTAGCGTTACTGCATGGACTACCATTATATATCTGTCAATATCTCTTGTAAACCCAAAGCTGCAAATATGCACCCAATGACAGCACGTCTGCATTTCTTTAACAAATGTAAGATTGGTGTTGACTTTGCATTGAAAGTACTGAACTGGAACGATGATACCCTCATCAGATTACAGTTATGGGATATCGCAGGTACGGTTCATTAATTATAGTTAAAAACTACCATAAAAACTGCCATAGGGTATTCAGTCCTTGTAATTAAACTATTTTTGCCTCGGCAAAATAATTGCCGATGTCTGAACTCTTCTGCCAAACTGCTACCTTGCATCGTTAATTTCTTCTGCAGAGAAACATATTAACAAATCTCCTTTAATACTTCTGCACACCTCAGCAAAGATATATTTTGGCATGCTTCAGCTAGTACTGTGTCTAACGGAACGCCGTCCCCCCACCTTTTTTACCAGGGGAACGGCATCCCCCCCTGCCAAAATCAAATGTGGGGGAATGCTGTTCCCCCTGGCAGGGGTTAAATATGAGTGAAGTTCAGTGAACACGGCTTGACACCATGGGTAGGATAAAAGGATATTGACATGATATAAGAACATTGACATGATTGAATGGATAGGATAAAAGGATAGCTATCATCTAAGCTTATGATGATCTAAGCCGATTCAACTTGCAAAGTTGCCTGTTGCCGAATTACTCACATAGCACTAATTGCATCATTGAAATTCGAAAGTCAACGTTACGTGGTTTTATTTGCTTTTTGACATCTACCACGCGCAAGCTTTCTGTTTTTTATGTTGTACTAAATCCACTTCAAAGATTAAGCTATTGCATATGTACTTGTTCACTATGACTATGCATAAGGCCACGCCCCATCGAGTGACTACACCCATTTTATTTTCAAGACCGTCCCCCCACTTCTAAAATTAGCAAAACATCGCTGGTAGCACTTTCTCCTCAATTATTTTAAGACCTTGAGTAGAGGTCCGACCAACATTGAACCCTGGTCTCCCGGCTTGAAAGGCGGGCGTGGTCACCACAAGACCATAAGAGTTGTCGTCAAGCATGTTTCTGACAAGCTTAGAATCTAGTTCCCTTGTAAACATTAATGGTTAATATTAACTGTATTTTTTTTATTTTTATAGGACAAGAAAGATTTGGAAATATGACTAGGGTAGGTTAGGCTGCAGTTGGTCATAGATTGTTAATTGCTAATTACTCTAATAATGCCACACGATTCTACTTATGTTCAAGGGTAATAATATCCGTTTAAAATTAATCGCATCTAAAATATTTTTTATTTACTAGGTCTATTACAAAGAAGCAGTAGGTGCATTTGTTGTGTTTGACGTCACTCGCGCTACAACATACGAAGCTGTCGAGAAATGGAAAAGTGATTTAGATAGCAAAGTCTTTCTACCAAATGGCTCGCCAATTCCTGCTGTACTTTTAGCAAACAAAGTAAGTTGATAATTCAGGGTAACATACCAATCTATCGGCCAGGTGTGGATCTAGCAGATTTTTTTAGGATGGTGCTGAACTACTCTAGGGGGATTCTAGATACCACTAGGACAGAAGATCTGCCCCTTCTATCAGTCATATAATAAAGTTTAATTTTGAAGAAATAAATCACATTAAATATTGTGTTTTGACAGTGTGACCAGGTGAGCGAAGGCTTATACAGCAATACGACGCAAATGAATGAGTTCTGTGCCGAGAAAGGTTTTGCTGGCTGGTTTGAAACCTCAGCCAAGGAGAATATTGGAATTGACGAAGCTGCTGCATTCTTAGTTAATAAGGTAAGTTTTTGTTACAGAGCTGCCAAGTTCCTGGTGGTTGAATATACACATGCAAAAATCTCACACCTTGTAACAAGTCTGCCGACAAGCCATCAACAAGTTGTGTTCGCACTGCTTGTCCCAAGTTGTCAACAAGTTTGGAACAAGCTGTTAACAACTTGTAACAACCTTGTTGATACTATCTTGTTGCAAGTTGTTCCAACAAATCCAATACAGTCATGATATAACAATATTGATTATTGTTACAACCTTGTGTCGTCAACCTTGTAACATTCTTGTTATATCATGACTGTATCAGACTTGTTAGAACAACCTTGTAACAAGTCTGATAATGCCATCAAGTTTTTAACAGCCTGTTCCAAACATGTCATACCAACTAGGAACAGGCAGTATGAACACACGTAAAAATGCACAAGTTGTTACAGGTTTTACAAACAACTTAATTGTTACAAGCTGTCGACAAGTTGTGTTCACACTGCTAGTTCCTAGTTGTTGTAACAAGTTTGGAACAAGCTGTTTTCAACTTGTAACAAGCTTGATGACATTATCAGACTTATTGTTAACAGCTTGTTCCAAACTTGTTGACAACTTGGGACATGGGACAAGCAGTGCGAACATAACTTGTCGACGGCTTGTTGGCAGACTTGCTACAAGACTCTTTTCACACAAGTGATGTTTTCGCAGCGCGCGAGAATCGAACCGACGATCTCAGAGGTGCGCCACTAATTATATTTTTCTTCTGTTATAGATCTTAGACAACGAGTCGAAGACCCCAATCGAGCTAAGTGCCTCTCATCCGCCAAATAATGGCGTCATTCGACCGGGGCAAAGACAACATACTACGGGACAACGGAAATCAGAGGGCTGTTGTTCATAAATACACACATTCATAAACACACAATCATGTTGATATAATTTCTACGTATTAGCATGTTTTAGATTACATTTTCATGCAGGGGCACACACCCTCTGCCTTTCAATTGCACCTTTGAAGGGAGCAGGTATTATTTATGGGGGGGGGGGGTGGCACCGAAGAGAAAAGGGTTGGGTAAACAAAATTTTGAATGAGTAAAAGGTTGGGTAAATGAAAAACAAAACAACTCAAGAGTTGGGTAATAAAAAATTATAATTGTCATTTCCAAAGCATGACTCACTCAAATATTGAAGAATAAAAAGCAATGTCGACACTTGTATGTCAATACAATAGGTAAATCAATCAGAGTCACTATCTTGATCATTTTCCGATTTGTCAGGAGGCAAATGGTGTCTCCAAAGAAAGTACATGTGCAGACAACATGAAACTTTTGACTGCAGAAATTTGCACAAGCAGTTTGAAGGAAGGGACGTGTGTGACAACTGAATGGTATCCTTTTGTAAAGTTTTTGGCCAGGGGTGGGTATTTATTTTTTAATTGATATTTGAGGTTGGGTAAAATTTTTTTGACTTTTTAGTGGTTGGATCAGAAAAATTTTCACGAAGAAAAACATTTGTCTTCGGTCCCCCCCCCCTCCCTCCCCCCGCCATAAATGATGACCGCGCCCTTAATTGCTATTATTTAACTGAAATCCACCAATTCTCATCTCAAACGATTACAAAGTAATGTAATTTTAAACATTTTGTGTTTCACACCTAAAATAATGAGTACATTTTTGTAAACAATAATCAGGGTTCGTACGAAACTTGAAAGTCCTCGAATGTCCTTGAATTTGAATTTGTAAAGAAGTACTTGAAAGTTCTTAAATTTTTCTTGCTTTAGTTTTTGGATATTTTCTGAAATTGTTTGACATTCAAAACGGACATTTTGTTGAATTGACTTTGCATGTCTATATATCTGACAAAGCTGTTTGAAACTCATTTATAAAGGGGCTTATAAAGTTGAGTTTCAACGTCAGATTTTACTGATTTCTAACCCCTTTTCTTGAAGTATTTAGTCCTTGAATTTGCTGATACATGGCCTTGAATGTCCTTGAAAAGTCCTTGAATTTGACTCTTAACTCTTCCTCACATCTACGAACCCTGAATAATTATAGTATGTCTTGGAGTAAAAATATATGTAACACTTTGTCAACAAGATGCGTTTGCAACACGCTGGAACAAGTTGGTAACAAATATGCGTGCAACGTAATGTCGTAATCTAATGTTGCGGGACAGTAAGGTGCAATTATTTAAATTTGTGAATTGGTAATATTTTGTATATGTAATAATAAAGCTAGCTCGCTTTGAATCGACTGAATGTATGGTTTTTCCTGAGCTTTGAAGGAGTTGTTCAGACGTCCCGTGAAAAGTTCGGCGTCGAAACTAGGCCATAGCCTATACATAGTTGGGCAGATTGGTGCAAATTATAGAACAATTGTGAATTTAATGATAAAATTAGACACCTTGGTGCCTTGGCCTTATGTTAGGGTTTACCCTAACTCCTAAGAACATTTTTTGACTATAGGGGCATAACGGACATGACAGATTATGCCCTTTGAATCGTGTTTGACAAATTTTATATATATATATAATATAGCATTTGTAAATTCTGAACGCTGATTGGCTAAGAGCCGTGTTGATAGAACTCAATGTCACGGAAACGTCGGAAAATGTCTTTCTTAATATGTTTCTGTTTGTGCTATATTATAAAACAAATATAAAACATCTTTTCCGTATTGATATACAGTTATATCAACACTCGTGGAAATTGGGAAAACTCGAAATTGTGTGAAAACACTCCGCCCTTCGGACGTCGATTGTTGTCTTGGTACCGTGATAATTAAATATCTATTAAATTAAAATCCAGGGGCCAGTTGTTTAAAGCTGGATTAGCTTAACCCTAGCCCTAGGTTAGCCTAAAATTCAAAGCAAACTACCTGACAGCTTGTCTATAAATTTGGAAATATTTCTTCAGAGATCTTGTCTGGATCGATAGGAGTTTTCTTCTCTGAAGCTTTGAAATAAACAGACGTGCAGAAATACATAAACCAAAACAGCAAGTTAACTTTTAACCCAGGGTTAGCGCTAGTCCTAATTGGAACACTCGTTTTGTTAATCTAGAGCCAACTTTCGGTTTGAAAATTCTGGTTCATTTGAAAAACTTGAAAGTCTTGCGTATCATAGTGATCTAAACCAACTTTTAAAAAATATATTTTAAAAGTCTCGGCCAGCACTTCGTTTTCCAACACCACAATTGTCGAATATCTATCAGCATTGATTCAATTGGAAAAAATTTGGCGAGCAGTATTTTCTAAAGTTCATGTGGTTGATGCTTGTGATGTTACTTTGAGTGTATATCCACACCGGGCAAGCTTGAAAAATATGCCTGACCACGGTGGGAATCGCACCTACGACCTACGAACCTAGGACCTTTGGCAGAGCATTGGGCTAGTATTCCAAAGGTCATAGGTTCGATTCCCACCGTGGCCAGGCATATTTTTCAAGCCTGCCCGGTGTGGATATACACTCAGAGTAACATCACAAGCATCATATTCACCTGAGTACATTACACCAACACAGAAAGATCATGATTAGTATATGTGGTTTTTGACGAGTTTACAGCTCCATCAGTCTGTGCCGCGGTTTCCAACCGCAACCGCAGTTCGTCCGCAGCAATCCGCAGTCCGCTCGCGTACCACCCGCATTATTTCCGCCACGTTTTAATTAATCACATGCTATACACAATGTTTGCAATCACATGAAATATTGACTGTAAACAGATCTTTTACAGTTTACTGTAACTGATCTGCTTGTGAATATTATGGGATGAAAGTGACGAAGAAATTACGAATATATAACATGGTAAAAACCGTCATAAAGCAAGTACATTTTTTATAAGAATCATACTCTATTTTTATTATTTTGTCGAACGCAAATCGTTTTCTAAAACGAATCTTCAGTGTTTGGACTTTAAACTTGTCAAGTTTTGACATTTTACATGCAGTTTATTTTAAAGATTTTATATATAAATATGGTAAGTGCATTACAGCATATTTACATTAATGTTGTTAATAATTTATAATTTCACATTCTAATTGGTCATTAAAGACAGAATTGTTCATTTATATTAAATAGGGCAGGGTGTCTCAATAAAAGTATACCCTTTGAAATTGTCCTATTGTAATAATTTAAATGCCTGAGCATTATGTCGAGGTTGAACCCATGCATGGTCCAAGCGTCAAGTACAGGGTGTATTGAAAATCGAGACCTGAAATTATATAGAGTGACCACACAAAAATGGTCAAATTACTAATCAGTCACATGATCAGCTCGGACAAAAATGGTTGAACTGTCGACCACGGAGCAAAGAGTTTTTATTGTGTTAAATTATACGCTCAAAATAATATTAACTCAAAGTACATGCATAAAGTTCGATTCAATTGTTTTTATGCACCTGTGCATGGATTCAGTATAATAATAAGGCATTCAAATCCCAACAAAGGCTTGATTGCAAAGTTTTTCTACAAACTGTCGGAATTTTGATTCACATAATTTAATGGCACCATTAATGGTTTCATTTAAAAACTCATCAATAATTCATGATTATCATGAGGAAATATATATATGTGATAAAGCTTGGATTTTCTCGGCTTAGACAGTGTTTATTTTTAAAATTACTTCCCCAATGAACTCATAAGATGGGTTGTTTTTTAAGCATGTTAATTAAAACACACAGAGTTTGTGCTTTATCAGATGTAAAACACTAGTTAGTGCTGCATGCGTGTGCACTTGCAGCATAAAAATATACATTAATATCTGTTGTCACCATACTTACCCATGTGGATGGTTAGGTGCAGACGTGGTCAGCTAATGATCTACGGATTAGAGTTACTTGGATTCAGGTCCGAATCACGTGGACCTGTCCATTCAGGACCTGACCACCGAACGTCTGCACCTTATCACACCGAACTTAGTTCGATGGAAATTAAATTGAAAATCAATTGTAGTCATGAAAAAAAAAATTGCTTCTTCTCTGAGCAGATAACCATTGCAGTTGGCTATGAATTAGCTAATGACCTGAGAGTCTGCTTGGCACTCTCTATATCCGATATCCTGAGGGCACATGTCGTACCCAGACTGTGCGCGGTTCCTATGATATTAACCTTGGTTACTATGTAACCTCATTAAAACTTATACTTATTTTCACCAGAATACAGCAAATTGCATTAAAAAGGAAAAGATATTCAAGGTTCTAGTCATTGGTGCTGTTGGCACAGGAAAAACAAGTTTCATACGAAGATATGTCAGCCAAAAATTCTTTATCAACTACAAGGCAACTGTATCCTTGCGACATTTAACCTGTTGAGCACAGCCAGCACTCTGAGCCCCTTGATAACTAAAATTGTCTGGCGTTTAATAGACAGAGTAAACTAGTTTGGCATTAGACAGAGTAAAATTGTCTGGCATTAGATATCTAGAGTAAAATTGTCTGACATTAGACAGAGTCAAATTATCTGCTGTTGGACAGAGTCAAATTGTCTGGAATTAGACAGAGTAAAATCGTCTTGCATTAGAAAGAGTAAAATCGTCTGGCATTAGACAGAGTAAAATCATCTTGCATTAGACAGAGTAAAATCGTTTTGCATTAGACAGAGTAAAATTGTCAGGCATTAGACAGAGTAAAATCGTCTTGCATTATAGACAGAGTAAAATTGTCTGGCGTTAGACAGAGTAAAATTGTCTGGCATTAGACAGAGTAAAATTGTTTGGCATTAGACAGAGTAAAATCGTCTTGCATTAGAAAGAGTAAAATTGTCTGGCATTAGACAGAGTAAAATTGTATGGCATTAGACAGATCTGTAAATTCGTCTGGCATTAGACAGAAAAAATAAAGTAAGGCGCATTAGCATGCAATGCAACTTAAATTAATGGATTAACTTGTGAATTAAATTGTTTTTGTTAACATGCTACAAATAAGATTGGAAGTGAATTGGCAACGAAGGTGATAGATTGGGATGAAAATTGCAAGATCAGGCTACAACTATGGGACATCGCAGGTAATATCATCATACCACTAAGCATTCTCAGACTGAGTTGTTTACATCCTACCCCACTCAGACCAATTTAACATTACTGTGTTTTCTCAAACTGTATATAGGACAAGAAAGAGTCATCTCAATGACCAGGGTAAGACTGCGTGAACGAAATTTTGTCCACAATTCATGGGAGTGCATATATTCTTACTGGGCGGAGAGGCGGGGGGGGGGGGGG